CAAAGAGGAATCAAAGTTTTGCATAGAAATATAGAGGCAAAAACTTTAAAAATCTTCTTCTCACGAACCAGTGGGCCAGTCAAGCTGAAACTTATGTAGAAGCATCCTGGGGTAGTGTAGATTCTAAATTGTTCAAATCATGATCCCCGGGGGTAGGGCGGGGCCACAATTGGAATCAAGATTTAACGAAGAAATATATATGAAAAAACTTTAAAAGTCTTCTTCTCAAGAACCACTGGGCCAGAATAGCTGAAACTTATGTTGAAGCATCCTGGGGTAATGTAGATTCTAAATTGTTCAAATCATGACCCCGGGGATTGGGCGGGGCCACAATAGGGAATCAAAGTTTTACATAGAAATATATAGGAAAAATCTTTTAAAATCTTCCTCTCAATAACCACATGGCCAGAAAAGCTGAGGTGGAAGCATTCTGGAATAGTGTAGATTCTAAATGGTTCAAATCATGACCCCCCGGGGGTTGGGTGGGGCCACAATGAGGAATCAAAGTTTTACATAGAAATATATAGGGGGGGGGGCACTTTAAAAATCTTGTTCTCAATTATTTGACCAGGAAAGTTGAAACTTATGTGGAAGCATCCTGGGGTAATGTAGATTTTAAATTGTCCAAATTATGACCCGTGGGATACAATAGGGTCAGAATGGGTATTACAAGGATGAAATCTGGTTAAGAATAACATTGTCGAAGCTTCTCAGGTGAGTGATGTGGCCCACGAGCCTCTTGTTTGTGTGATGTCACAGCAAAGATTCCCCGTATAAATTAGGTCTCGCCCCCTTTTTACAGCCTTAACAGTGCTGTGCAGTGGTTCTTGATAAGACTTTCTTTTTTAGGTCACCTGAGTAAACTCAGGTGACCTATTGCTATCCGTTTTCGTCCGTCGTCGTGCGTTGTGCGTCGTGCGTTAACATTTGAACATTTTCAGCTTCTTCTCTGCAACCACTGAACCAATTTCAACCAAATTTGGCACAAAGCATCTATTGGTGAAGGGAAACAAAAATTGTGAATTTCATGATCCCTGCCCCCCCCCCCCCGGGGGCCTGAGGGGTGTGGCCAAAACCACTTAAATTAATGCAATCTTTAAAAATCTTCTTTACTCCTGGACATCAAGCAGTCAAACTGTTTGCATGATTGTAATCAGCAATGAGTCCTCTACCAAAATTGTGAAATTCATGGCCCTGGGGTCAGGGGTTCTAGTGCTAGGGCGGGGCTAAATAAGTAGGTAGTGAAAATGCAATATTTCATTGAAAATCTTCTTCTCTGCTCCTGGGTATTAAATAAACCAACCAAGTACATAGTTATGATGAGCAAGAGTGCCTCTACCAAAAGTGTGAAATTCATGGCCCTGGGGTCAGGGGTTCTGGTGTTAGGGCGGGGCTCTATTGATTATATAGTGAAAATACATGAATTCTTTGAAAATCTTCTTCTCTGCTCCTGGGGATTAAATAAACTAACTAAGTACATAGTTATGATGTGCAAGAGTGCCTCTACCAAAATTTTGAATTTTATGGCCCCAGGGTCAGGGGTTCTTGTTTTAAGGTGGGGCTCTAATGATTATGTAGTGAAATGCATGTATTCTTTGAACATCTTATCCTTTGCTCCTGGTTAATATACTAATGATCTAATTACATGTTTAAGGGCAGGAGTTATTTTATTTTCAGTTTTACAAACCCTCCGCTCAAGGTTTTGAATTTTCAGAAAAAAATAAAACAATTTTTTTCTTTCCGATATCAAATTTGAGTCGGGATCGAGATTTCAAGTTTACGAACTCGCACTTCCGGTTTTAAGATGAAACGGCGGGTAAATAAAGCTAGATCTGAGAAGATAACTTGATTTAGTGTAAAATTCATCGATACGAGTGCCATTCAAAACGTTTCACCCATTCAAAGGACAAATAAAATGCTGACGACTTTGTTGCACAATGACATGCTGGTGAGATAATTATGTATTCGTTTCAAAAGTATCTGTCTGTTAATTATTTTCGTCCCCCAGGTTTTAAACTGCCTGTGGTAGCTATTGCATATTGCCAGCGACATTGTTTAGGACTCTGTTATAGCTTACAGTCTAAGCATCATTCTTCAGAAAAGGGTTGCTTATGCATCAGATGTAATGAATAAAACTATTGGGAGAAGTTAAGTCCATTTGAGGAAGAAATAAACAATAACCTGAAGAAATAAAACAAAAAATTCAACTATTAAAAGGCAAGAATATACAAATATATACAGGCATGTAGTATCATTTGTATAAGCCAGAAAAATTATTTTACACTTAACTTAATTGAAAAAATGTTCACCCTACTCCCCAATACTCCCTTTCTGTTTTATGATAGGAATTATAATTTTAGGCAACAAGTAAATTTTAGAACAATGTCTATACATTTACCTAACACATTTTTAAACCAGAAGTCTCTGTCGAGACTGAAGCTCTACTGGTTTGAACTTATAGCAAAGGAAGAGAAGAGTACTTAAGCAGCTGGGATTTGAAACTTTACAACAGCAATATATAGAATAATGATCGTTGATAAAGTCTCTTTATGTTCTTAGTGTAGTCTACTTGTGTGCCAAGTTATATTGAAATCAGACCAAAACTGTAGGAGGAGTAGCATTTTGAAACAATTTTACAGACATTTCAATTTTTAGTAACCACGGCAACACAGTTCATCAAAATTAAAATTTGATATACAGAATTATGTATCTTAGTGTATTCTACTTGTGTGCCAAGTTATATTGAAATCAGACCAAAACTGTAGGAGGAGTAGCATTTTGAAACAATTTTACAGATATTTCTATTTTTTGTAACCACGGCAACACCGTTCATCGAAATCAAAATTTAGATTTATGTATCTTAGTGTATTCTACTTGTGTGCCAAGTTATACTGAAATCAGATCAAAACTGTAGGAGGAGTAGCATTTTGAAAGAATTTCACAGAAATTTCTATTTTTAGTAACCACGGCAACACCGTTCATCGAAATCAAAAACCGATACACAGAATTATGTATCTTAGTGTATTCTACTTGTGTGCCAAGTTATACTGAAATCAGAATAAAACTGTAGGAGGAGTAGCATTTTGAAACAATTTCACAGAAATTTCTATTTTTAGTAACCACGGCAACACCGTTCATCGAAATCAAAAACCGATATACAGAATTATGTATCTTAGTGTAGTCTACTTGTGTGCCAAGTTATACTGAAATCAGACCAAAACTGTAGGAGGAGTAGCATTTTGAAAGAATTTCACAGAAATTTCTATTTTTGTAACCACGGCAACACCGTTCATCGAACTCAAAAACCGATACACAGAATTATGTATCTTAGTGTAGTCTACTTGTGTGCCAAGTTATATTGAAATTAGACCAAAACTGTAGGAGGAGTAGCATTTTGAAAAATTGTTTACAGACAGACGGACAGACGGACAACACGCCGGACGCATTACTATCGCATAAGCTCTTCTGGTCTCTGACCAGTAGAGCTAAGAAATAAAGATATATTGAAAGACTTTTAAAGAATTGTTTTTTAAAATATATTTTGACCAACATCACAAAATTTATATAACTGGCCCAAACTGGCAGATGATGAAATAAGCAATTAAATGTTCTACTTTCCTATTTGTAAGCATTATGTGTCCAGTGGTAAGGAGCCTAGTAGAATAGCATAAAAAAAGAATGTACAAATGTTAATAATAGATTTATATTAAAAAAAAAATTTATTTCCTTTCCCTTACTTTTTTTTTTCTCATTTAAACAAACCTAAACATAAAAAAAACTGGCCATAATAAGAAGGGGCCTCTTTCAAAAAGAAATTTCAGGGCCGCTGGGTCAGGGGTACCAGGGGGGACTTTACAAAAAAAATTAAGCTTTGAAATCTCCCATAAGAATGGTGCCTGCTTCAAAATTTGTGAATTTCATGGTTTATTAAAAACAACCAAATACAATTGCTAAAATTGTTACATATACTAGGGGACCTATAAGGCCCGTGGGCCTCTTGTTTATATCTCCTCTTGGAAGGGAGATTAGCCTTTGATTTTAACAATTTAAATTCCCCTTTACTCAAGGATGCTTTGTCCAAGTTTGGTTTAAAAATTTTCTAGTGGTTTTTGAGAAGAAATTGAAAATGTGAAAAGTTTACAGAAGGACGAGATTGGGTGATCAAAAAGCTCACTTTAACTTTCAGCTCACGTGAGCTAAAAAAAAGTGATAACACCAAGTTTTCTCCAAAGTGCAAATCACATTCGAAGTACTAAATGAGAAATAACTACCCCACATCTTGGATCCAGAATGTTACCATCTGAGGATTTGGAGTTTTCTATACAAGACAGAAAAAATGTATTACTGATGTGAAAAGTATCGTATAATCGGAACAGAAAATATTTCAACATTTAGTTCAAAATCATGGATCTTTAAATTTTAATCAATATCTACCTGTCTCCCCTAAGTGCAATCACATTCGCAGTACTAAATGAGAAATAACTACCTGCATCTTTTTTTGGATCCAGAAATGTTGCGATCTCAAAGGGCTTTGAATGTTCTGTACAAGACAAAATATATAATCATAACAGAAAAGTTAGCAACATTTAGTTCAAAATCAGGTTGTTTAAATTGTAATCAATATCTACCTGTCTCCTTTCTCTTTTTCGAACCCAGAATAAAATGATAAAAAATGAAAGTATTAACACATTTATGATTAAAGTCACAATAACAACTGTGACAGTATTCTTCTCGTTGGATGTAGAATCGCCTATTGACTACAAAAAGAAAACATTTTCTCATTGTCATCTAAAAACACACAAAGCATTTCTGAAACAAATATATCTATAAAACTCTTAAAATTAAAAATGATTTAATTCATTATATTGCAAATGTTAATGATTAATATATACCAAGTTAATTGCTATCTTTATAAAATAAACAATCTCATGCGTTTTACAAAAAAAGTTCTTCTTAAAGATAAATATATAGTCTAGCAAAGCTGTTTTCTATTGGAAAAACTTGCGTGTTTCCATTCACATGCAGAGTGATTGATGCTTTATTGGATGTCGTTGTCTCAACCCTGAAAAAGAAAATTTACACAAAGGTTGTAAGCTGTAATCTAGTCAATGGATTTTTTATTCCATCTTTAACTCATTATTTAAAGAATGTTTTTATGATAAGTAAGGTATGAATTATAATTGTGCATGTAGTTCAAATATTACCTGTAAAAGTTTTCAAAGCATGCCTGATCTGTAAAAAATGAATTACTCGTTAAATAAACTGTAAAGACTTCAATAACTATAAATGTACGTTGTAGAAGGCTCATAAGTCACAGCCGTCACAGAATAAATGTTTTAATATTTGTCAAAAGAAAAAGTTAGTCAAATTTTTTTTTAATCAGCAAAGATACAATAGACGTCGTCTTGAAATTTCGACCGTCACCCGTCGGTACAGCTCTTGTTCCGTGATCGAAGGGCCGTGTGTTCGATTCCCGGCCGTGACTGCCCTAAGTCAATAAAACTATGTCGCAACTGTTCCTTCGCCAAGCGCTCGGCACCTAAAGTTGCGGGTCCTTCGGATGACATTAAAAAACAGAGGTCCGATCTAACGATGGCTATTGGCCAGAAAAGAACCCTCAGTGCTCAATGGCATTATTGCCGAGTAAAGGTCTTAATTTGAAGCCCTTCGTCAGTACATTATTGGTATTTCTACATTAAAATTCTCGAAGAATACATAAAACAGAATACAATTGTTTGACCGTCATGCAGCCTACGATTGATTAATGAGCTTCCGTTGCAATACTAACACTAGTCTACAAATACCTGTAAATGACAGTGAATGAAGATGAGTCCATTAAAAACGAAATTAAAATATAATTTGAGCCAAAAAGTACGCTATGCGATGTTCCCAATGATAATAAAAGTCTTTATCAAGTTCTAATTGGTAGACTTTTTCGCGTATTTTACTTTGGTTTATGATAATTTAAAATTCGTATTACATACCTTAGATAGAATCAAACGCTAGCTGATAATATTGCAACTAAATTGTCTTGTGAGTTACTATAATGTTAACCGACGTTATCATGAAAAAAAAACAAAAAAAAAACAAGAAAGAATTTAAACGAATTATACTTATGTAAAAGAAGACAAAATTAGTATAATTACATATACTTATACATAAATACTTACATTTATAAATGTCTGAGGCTCTGTATGCTGTTGTTGGGCAGCCCGGAGACGCATCGCATGAGATGAAGTTTAAATTATACGTATCAGCATCTAACACTGCACATTTACCTACAAAACCGAGATGTTATACCTTTTACACAATTTCCTAAATGAAATAATTCAGTTTGCCAGATAAACAGAAACAGATCAAGTTTGAATGTCGTTTCGATCCACTGATATTGGACAGAATTATTTTTTTTTTAATTTTCCACAATGTGTGGTTTAAGATCGGGTTCGTACTAAGCTAAATGATCCAAACGAGATTGTAATGTTAAAATTATTATTTTAAACATGTTAGGTAGCTTTATAGTGACAAATTAGGTAGAATGTTCTACCGTTAAAATGATTTATGTCCTGGGACCCGGTTCAACGATAGAATGCATACTGTTATATAAATTGACGTAATATTTAGGAAAGGAAAATAACGGGAGATAATTCTCACCATAGGTGTCGGAAGCAAATTGAAAGTGGTAGCCTAGCCAGTGGCGGATTCAGGGGGGTTGGGGTTTGGGGGGTTCGGACCCCCCCCCCTCATAGATTTTTTTTACAAGTGTCATTTTATCTTTCTGTTGCATTGATAAGACTCTAATAAACACGAAACCATTGTTCTGTACAACGTAACAGGAAATCACTTTCCGCTTGAACGCACACAATACAAGGGAATCAACAGAGAGATTAGGGTAGTCCATGCATCTTTTAAAGTACAAGGTCATATTCATGTACAAACATGTAGTCAGGAAAGATCCAAATTCTGCTTTGTTAGGTGCTGCTCAGTAATATTCTTTTG